CCAGCCCACTTTCTGTCTTCCTGGGTCCATCTGGAAATTCCTGAAGGCACAGTCAGGGGCCCAGGGGGAAGGCATCACCCCAAACTCAGGCACCGGCTCCCATGCTGCCCGCCCCACCCCCACCCGTCTCTGCCGAACCGAGACTCCTGACTGGATGCTCTTCCCTGGTCTCTGCAGTGCTCCACGGGTCACTGTTCTTCGTGGGGGCGGGAGGAGACCAGCCGGGAGCCTGGGGCAGGCTGAGAGGCGACTTGGGGATTTGCCCAGAGCCGCCCTGGCCTGAGCCTGAGGTGAAGAAACCTTTCTGAGATCTTGAGGGTCTGCTTTGGAGAACAGGCACCTTCGCCAGGCACGAGCAGCGCGGACCTGAGCCCTGACCCTGCACCCTCTCCCGGACGTTGTGTCCCGCGGGGGGCATGCCCACCAGCACCCCGTTTCCCAGTGCCTTCCTCATGGGGTTACCGGGATTCCATGAGGGGAGGCACATTAGGGCCCAGAGGAGACTCAAACCCATCAAGTGGTGGTGGGAGAGGCGGGTGGGGCCCCTCACTGGGCGGGGAGGGGGCCAGGGAGCCGGGCATCTGCAGGACTGAGTCCCAGCCCCGGGGAGCAGGGCGGGGTGCAGAGGGAGGCCTGCTAACCTTTATTCCCTCTGTGCTCGGTTTTACAGAACATTCTAGAATTCGGCCCAGAATTCAGTCCAGGGCAAAAGTAGACATTCCTAAGCTGTGATCAGCCTGGACCTGCTCCCAAGAATCTTCCAGAATTCCCCCTCCCGAAGCTCCTCCTCCTTTCACACTGCCTCCCCTCCATCCCTCTTCTTTCCACCTTCAAGACGCTTATCTGGCGCTCTTAGACCATTTTTTTCCCCTTTATTTAGACAGAAAAGACCGACTCTTTAAAAGTAAATTGCAACAAATAAATAAGTTCAGCTTAGAGAAGTGTCTGAAACTGACCCGTCTCCCCTCATCACTACCCCACCCCTTCTTTGCACTAAAATCTCTTCCTAAAGAAAATGATCCGATAAGAAATCCCGTTCGCCCTCCCGCCCCCCCTCCTCCCCGTGTACCCAATGACACCCCAAAGCGTAGGGAGAACTTGAGAGAGAAAAATCTGAGGAAACATTGTCTAACTCCCAGAGAGAGATGGCAGCGTCCAGCGGGCCGGCGGATAACGCACTGGCGGTACTGGTGGTATTTACAGGGAGGGGCCGGCAGAGACTGTAAACATTCTTAGGGGTCCAGGGAGGTCACTTCCTCAGAGGAGGAGGGTCTCTGGAGGCAGCCCTCGGGCTCCCCCACACCCTCAGCAGAGGGGGCCCTTGTGGGAGGCAGTGAGTGTTCGGGGTTCGGGGAAATCCCTCGAGCTGCGGGTGTAGGGAGCTGGGCCGGCTTCGGAGAAGCTTCAAGGAGGGGAGAGGCTGGTGGGAGTCTGGGGGGGCCCCATAGGCAGACTCACTCCCTGCAGGGCCGGGGGCAGTGCGGGGCAGGTGCCAAGCACCGAGGCCCCCCTAGAGCCTGCAGAAGGCAGCACCCGCACCCCCAGGCCAACTTCCTGCGCCCTCGAGAAGGCCAGAAGGCGCCTGGGAGAAAACGGGCCGTTCCGAGTGGTGGCGTGGCCGGGGTCCGAGCCCCCCGGGCTGCGAGCAGCTTTGGCCCTGGAGCCCCAGCAGGGCCCAGGCGGATGTGCAGAGAGGCCGGGGCCAGCCGCGGGGAGCAGAGGGAGGCGCCCCTGTCTCTGGTGTCTCCACACCTGCAAAGGAAGATGTGGGGGTCAGGTGAGGCCGGGGGCGGGGGGAGGTTCAGGGGCCCCACAAGCTCCTGCTACCTGAGGAAGGCGGGCGGTCAGGGGGGTCGGCCAGCCGGGCCCCGTCGGGGCGGGGTGACTGGGGAACGGGAGCGGGGCCGGACTGTCCGGGGGACAGACTCGAACATCCTCCCTGAGGGGGCAGGTGGGGATGGGGGGGGATACATGAGTGATGGGGCAGGAGGGTGTGTGGGCAGGCACGGGGCGTCGGGGCACACAGGGGTCCCCCCCGGATGCCACGGATGGGCGGGCTGGGCCAGGCGGGGGCCACCCACCCAGGAGTGCGCCCCTGCCTCTGGGAGAAGGCACGGAGAGAGCGAGAGAGACACACAGGACACAGCAGGTCACCAACCACTGCAGACCACGCACATCCCGCCAGCTGCCCGGCCGTGACCCGGGCGGGTCACACCCCACAGCCCCCTCCCCAAGGAACAAACAACCGGCTCCAAAGACAACACGCTCGTTCCATGCAACTTACAGGGGCCCGGAGCAGGGGTCCGGGGATGGGGGCTTCGGCCGACAATGGACACGGGCCCTGGGCTGGGGGGACCCCCAGGGTGGGGGGAGTTTAGCAGCCAGGATTGGGGGGAGAGGGGGAGAAATAGAAAATGTGGGTATTGTTCTTGGGTTGTTTTCTTTCTTTTTTTTTTTCAGGGGTTTGGTCCGAGGGGAATGAAACAACACAAAAGCCATCCAAGCTCGGAGTTCTGGGAGATGAGGGCAAGGGGGCAGCAGTGGGGTGCAGGGGACCTGTTCGGTGACGGGCACAGGCAGACCGACCTTCCAGCGGCCTCTGCCTGAACCAGCGCTGCTCCCCAGAGGCCTGGGACCCTCATCTGTGCTGCACCCCACCGCTGCTGCGGCCCAGCGTCACCTGGAGTCCAGGGCGGAGAACCCGACGGCTCCACATCTCAGAGCCAGGGACGTGCCGTCGTCTGTCCCCTGGCACCCTAGGCCAGTCCCCCCTTCCCCAAACCCTACGCCCCTCATCTCCTCCAACCCAAAGGAAAACCAGAAGAGACACACGCAGACACACGGACCAGACAGACAGAGCAGGAAGGAGGGAAATCTGGGAGCGGACACAATCTGGCGAGGCTCTGTGTGTATGAGTGTGTGTGTGTGTGTGTGTGTGTGTGTGTGTGTGTGTGTGTGTGTGTGTATCTAAAAGTGTATGTGTGTGAGAGTATGTGTCTGAGAGTGTGTAGTTGAGAGAGAGAGAGTGTGTGTGTGTGTGTGTGAGAGAGAGAGAGAGAGAGAGAGTATAAGAGGACACAGCAGGGCCTGGAGCAGTAGCACAGCGGGTAGGATGTTTGCCTTGCACGCGGCCGACCCGGGTTCGATTCCCAGCATCCCACATGGTCCCCCGAGCACTGCCAGGAGTGATTCCTGAGTGCAGAGCCAGGAGGAGGCACCCCTGAGCATCGCCGGGTGTGACCCAAAAAGCAAAAAAAAAAAAAAAAGAGGACACAGCAGTGAGTCCTAGACAGCACCAGAGATCCCTCCAGGCTCCATTCCAGCCAATCTCACCGGGGCACCCGGGAGGGAGCAAGTGCGCTCTCCCTGCCTACTCCAGATGGAATCCCAGAGGCCAAGAGCTTCCACAAGCAAGGCCCAGGGATGCGGGTTCCAGGACTGAATCTCCAGGCCACCTGGTGGCAGAGGCTCCCCGCCCTCTCAGTGACCTGGCTGTCATCCTCACAAGCTTCCGCCGGGTGCCATCTTGGCGCACCAACAGCCCTGGCCCAGAGACTCTCAACTGAATCCCAAAATGAATTAGCGCCCTACAGAGATGTCTCTGGAACACGACCATTTACAATGTAAGGTTCCAGAAGCACGCGGCCGCAAAGCGGCCGTATGAACTCATGATATTCAAAATGAGCAATGGAAAATAAATTATCTCACGTCTGCCCCTGGCAGGCAGGTTTGAATGGTGGTGGGAAAATTCGGGCCAAACATAATGCCCAAAAAGTAGAGAGTATGGGGGAAATCGTCTGCTGTAGAGGCAGGGTGGGGACTGGGATGGGGGGCGGGAGGATACTGGGGACGTTGGTGGTGGAGAATGTGCACTGGTGGAGGGATGGGTGTTCGATCATTGTATGACTGAAGCTCAAACATGAAAGCTTTTTAACTGCACCTCATGGTGATTCAATTAAAAGAAAGAAAAAGAAAAGAGGGGCTGGAGCAATAGCACAGCGGGTTGGGCGTTTGCCTTGCACGCGGCCGACCCAGGTTCGATTCCCAGCATCCCATATGGTCCCCCTGAGCGCCGCCAGGAGTGATTCCTGAGTGCAGAGCCAGGAGTAACCCCTGTGCATCGCTGGGTGTGACCCAAAAAGTGAAAGAAAAAAAAAAAGAAAAGAAAGTATAAGAGAAAGTATGTGAGTGTTTGAATATGTAAGAGAAGTGTATGTGAGGTGTGTGAGAGAAAGTGTGTGAGGATGTGTGAATATGTGAGCGAAAACGTGTGTGAGAGAGTATGTGTGAGGAGAGAAAATATGTGTGTGTCAGAGAAAGTGTGTGAGAGAAAGTGTGTGAGAATGTGTGAATATGTGAGAGAAAATGTGTGTGAGAGTATGTGTGAGGAGAGAAAATATATGTGAGTGTGTCAGAGGACGTGTGTGAGAGAAAGTATGTGAGAATGTGTGAATATGTGAGAGAAAATGTGTGTGAGAGAGTATATGTGAGGAGAGAAAATATGTGTGAGTGTGTCAGAGAAAGCGTGTGAGAGAAAGTATGTGAGAATGTGTGAATATGTGAGAGAAAATGTGTGTGAGAGAGTATGTGTGAGGAGAGAAAATGTGTGAGTGTGTCAGAGAACGTGTGTGAGAGAAAGTATGTGAGAATGTGTGAATATGTGAGAGAAAATGTGTGTGAGAGAGTATGTGTGAGGAGAGAAAATATGTGAGTGTGTCAGAGAACGTGTGTGAGAGAAAATGTGTGTGTGATATAGTGCGAGTGTATGAGCCTAAATGTGAGTATGTGAGAGAAAATGTGTACATCTGAGAGAGTGTGTGTGAGACAGTGTCTAAGTGACAGAAAGAGAGAGTGTGTGAGTGTGTGTATGTGAGGGGGAGTTGGCTGGGAGCAGCTGAGGGGCTGGTCAGGGAGAGGAGGGCTGAAGGCTGTCCAGGGGAGGCCCTGACTACAGAAGGGGGTGGAATTCACAAGGCGGGAGTCGGACCCACCTGGAGGCCTCAGTAGGGTCTGTTGGCATCCTTCGGCCGTTTTAGCTGGACTTTGAGGCGTTTCATGCCAATCTGAAAACCGTTCATGGCCTGGATAGCAGCCTGGGCACTGGCCGGATTGTCGAAACTCACAAAGCCTGAGGTGAGACGAGCATGAGGCTGGGCCCGGCCCCCCCTCATCCCCTGTGCCTGCTCTTGGGCTTCTGACATCACCCAACTTCCTCCCGGCACTCCGTGGGCCTCCCAGACTTTCGTCCTGAATGGTGGCTGGGAAATGGGGCCACCAACCCCAGTCCAGCCTCTCTCACAGTCTAAGTCAGCATTTCTAGCATTTCCGAAGGGCAGCTGTGGCTTCCGTCAGGACATCTGGGAACACGCCCTTTGAAAATGCCACTTGGAGGGATTGGAGTCGTAGTCCAGCGGGGAGGGCATCTGCCTTGCAAGCAACCAACCTGGGTTCAATGCCCAGCACCCGCTACGGCCCCCAAGCTCAGCCAGGAGTGATTCCCGAGTGCAGAACCAGGATTAACACCTGAGCATTTCCAGGTGTGGCCCCCCAAAAAAATAAATAAAACAAAAAGAAAAGGAAAATGCCACTCTGAATCCTGAATACATTTTTTCCAAGGCAGGGAGAATCCGAACATCCGCTGTGACCCTGAAGCGGCTTTTGAAGACTCAACAGCAACTAAAACCCGTTCCCCTGAGTCTTCTAAGCCTCTCGTGCCTGGGGCACGGACGTGCACAGCCACTGAGGTGCAGAATCGAGGCTGTGGGGCTTGCGGGGAGGCCTGGCCCCAGCAGCGACCGGCTGTGCTAGACTCTGCTTCTCTCGGACCCTCGACAATGCAGACAGCAGACAGGGTCCACGCAGGGCGCATTTCCTGCCCCCTTGTCTCTCACTGGGAATCCATCTGGGGGCTAACGGGCTCAATCGTGGCCTTACCAAAACACTTGCTCTGATTGGTGGCCCGATCCACAAAGACTTTGGCTGAGATGACGTGGCCGAACGGAACAAACATCTGTAGGATCTCAGAGTCCGTGAACTCCTGGGGCAGGTGGTAGATGAAGATGTTGCAGCCATCAGGGCCTGGGGGTGGGGGTTGTGGGGAACAGGAGGAAGAGCTCAGAGGTCAGAAGCGCTGCTGCGGGGTGCAGACCCTGGGAGGACCCGGGCCCCCTCCCTGGGCTAGGCTGCCTCCATCCGCATGCAGGGTGGGGGGGAGGGGAGACCCCCCCCTCTGGGCTAGGCTGCCCCCATCCACATGCGGGGGGCCGGGGGGTGGGAGACACCTTCCCGCTGCTGCTGCTGCTGCTGCTGGGCCGGGGGCGGAGGCTGGTGGGCCACCAGGGCTGGTGGTTGCGGGAAGGCGGGAGCCACCAGGCTGTAGGCCGGGTAGGCCGCTGTCAGGAGGGCGGAGGAGAGAGCAGCTCTGGGTCCTGCTGGCCGGCCGAGGGTGGGCACGGCTGCCCCGCACCCGTGCCCGCGGCCCCGCCCTCACCTGTGTAGTGCTGCACGCCCGCATAGGCCTGCTGCAGGGGGTCCATGGGTGCGGCGGGGCTCTGGGCTGGGGAGAGCAGTGGAGGGGCGTGGGCAGTGAGCGCCGGCGAGGCCGAGCGGGCGGGAGCCGGGACAGGCTCCGGAGCACTGGGCTCCGGCCCGGTGCCGTCCTGGACAAGCGGGGCCCCCCGCCCGGCTCCCCAGGCTGCCGCAGGACGCAGGGCGAGAGGGTCAGGAGCCCCACCTGGGTAGGGGTGAACCCCGTTGGGGTACAGGGCGTCAGGGGCGGGCTGCCCAGCGGGCTGGGCGGGCACCGGGCTGTAGCCGTTGATGCCCAGGGCAGCGGGAATGGCAGAGACAGGCGTGGCGGCGATGGCAGGAGGGGTGCTGGTTCCTGGGCAAAGAAAGCGACAACACGGCCAAGCAGAGACACCCACATGTACACGGACACACACATGCACGCACCCACGCACACGTGTGCACACACACGCAGGGAAGCGGTCAGCGGAGCGAGGGCACAGGCAGGAGGCCGGACCCCTCCAGAGCCACCCGGGTCCTTGTGCACCCCACCTGCCACTCCCCCGGCCGCTCACCTGAGGACGGGGTGATGGGGGTGGCAATGAGGCCGTTGGCGTTGATGGCAGCCATGTGCTGCATCTGCACGGCGGCCATGGCTGCCATGGGGCTGAGGTAGGCACTGTGGGCTGCGACCAGGGCCGCCTGCTGCTGCATCAGCTGCGGGGAGAGCGCAGCGGGGGCGGGCGCTCGGCATGGGGAGCGGGTGGGCTTGGGGTGCGGGCCGGGCACAGGAGGGGGGCTGGGCATGGGGGTGGCCTGGCATGGGGGAGGAGCGGGCCGGGCATGGGGTGACTGGGCATGGGGGTGGCGGGCATCAGGGAGTGGCTGGGCATGGGGGTGGCTGGGCATGGGGGTGGCTGGGCACAGAGGAGCAGGCCGGGCAAAGGTAGCTGGGCATGGGGGTGGCTGGGCATAGGGGAGCGGGCCAGGCACGGGGTGGCTGGGCATGGGGGTGGCCGGGCACAGAGGAGCAGGCCGGGCAAAGGTAGCTGGGCATGGGGGTGGCTGGGCATGGGGGTGGCCGGGCATCAGGGAGTGGGCTGGGCATGGGGTAGCTGGGCATGGGGGTGGCCGGGCACAGAGGAGCAGGCCGGGCAAAGGTAGCTGGGCATGGGGGTGGCTGGGCATGGGGGTGGCCGGGCATCAGGGAGTGGGCTGGGCATGGGGTAGCTGGGCATGGGGGTGGCCTGACACAGGGGAGCGGGCCGGGCACGGGGGTGGCCGGGCATCAGGGAATGGGCCGGGCACGGGGTGGCTGGGCATGGGGGTGGCCGGGCATCAGGGAGTGGGCTGGGCATGGGGTAGCTGGGCATGGGGGTGGCCGGGCACAGAGGAGCAGGCCGGGCACGGGGTGGCTGGGCATCAGGGAGTGGGCTGGGCATGGGGTAGCTGGGCATGGGGGTGGCCTGGCACAGGGGAGCGGGCCGGGCACGGGGGTGGCCGGGCATAGGGGAGCAGGCCGGGCACGGGGTGGCTGGGCATGGGGGTGGCCTGGCACAGGGGAGCGGGCCGGGCATGGGGTGGCTGGGCATGGGGGTGGCGGGCACAGGGGAGCGGGCCGGGCACGGGGTGGCTGATGGGGATGGCCGGGCATCGGGGAGCGGGCCGGGCACGGGCGGGTGGGCCGGGCACGGGCTGGCGGGCAGGGCAGACGCATGCAGGACGGTGCTCACAGCCTGGGTATAGGCGCTGTAGGCTCCGAAGTGGAGGGCGATGGGGCTGAACATGCCCAGCTGAGTGGCCACCTGCTGCATCCGCCTCAGACCTCGCTCCTTCTCCGTGTCGGCAAACTTCACCACCAGGCTGGACGAGGCCCCCTGGGAACAGGCCCCGAAGAGGGCCAGGGCACCTTCCAGCCGGTGACCCGGCCCTGCCTTATGGCTTGTCTTCGGGGGCATGCACGGGACTATGCCGGGAGTCAAGAGGGGATTTCTGTCCCTCCCACTCCCCCAGGGCCAGGAGGTGCTGGGGCCACGGGGGGCAGGGGCGGGCCCCGCAGAGGGGGGATCTGGGGTGGCCGGAGAGTTCCACCTCGGGCTGGGCTCCCGGGTCGCTGTCCCACCCCCAGCCCGAGCCCAAGCCCAACTGAGCGCCAGCCTGGGCTGAGCCGGGGCCAAAGCGGAGACGCTCTTGGGTGGGTCCAGGGGCCCGAGTGTGGAGTGCAGCTCTCCTTGGACCCTTCCAGAACCCCTGGTCACAGTCGGGGGAGCCCTCGCCCTCCACGAGGGTCCCGCTCCAGCAGATCCACTGGGGGCCGGGGTCCAGGAAGGGGCGGGAGAGGGGTCTCTGGGAGCGCCTGGCTGGCGGGTGGGCGGGCTCACCGGCAGGGTCCGGCTGCTGTGGAGGGTGCGAATGGCTGCCTGGGCCTCGGCGTGGGTCTGGAACTTGACGAAGGCGCAACCTGGGTTCGAGGGAGCCAGGGTGAGCGGCCGCCCACCCCCGGGGAGGCTTAGCAGGAGGCCCGGGCGGCGGGCAGGGCAGGGCGGGGCTACCTTTACTGGTACCGTCGGGGCCCCGAAGCACAGTGCACTCGTCTATGGTCCCGAAAGGCTCGAACATCTTCCGCACGTCCTCATCTGTCTGCTGCTTCCCGAGCATGCCCACAAAGAGCTTTCGATCTTCTGGGGGAGCAGGGGCAAGGGCCTGCTCAGGGCACCCTGCCACCCTCGCTCCCTTCCCTACCACGCTCCTGGGGGCAGGGGGGCACACAGTCCCGTTTCCCCGGAGACCAGGGGTTCCTCGGGGTGGGGCACAGGTAACCAAACATTCCAAGGACTGAGCATTTTCAGGCATCATCTCCTCCCCCTTCTGCCATCTCTAGGAAAGGTGGTGCCCAGCCCCAGGGCCACCTCCTTCAGGGAGCCCTCTGGGGTTGCAGACATCCCTCCACCAGAGGCTGCTGTCGCTTGGGACTCCCCAGGTCGGGGTCAGGGACAGAGCCCACAGGTGCAGGACCTACCTCCTCGGCTCTCGCTGTCGGCTGGCTTGACCTGGATTGGCCTGTTCATCTACGGGAGAGAAGAGAAGGCGGCTGTGGGGCCCTCTAAGCCCCAGGAGGGGGCAGGGGTCGAGCCCCCTCCAGTGCTGGTTCCTTGGGGGGCCCTGACTTCCTGCCTGGAGTCTCTTGGGGGGTGGGGGCGCTGGAGGTGAGGGGGTGCTCATGTCCCGCTGGGGCCAGGCTGGGGGCACCCAGACCCGTGGCCAGGGGCAGGTCCTGCTCTCCTTAAGGGGGAAAGGGGGCGGGCGGTCCCCAGGCCGATGCTTTCATGCCACAACTGGGGGCAGCAGGGGCAGACACCCAGAGCAGACCCCAGAAGGGTCCTAGGCTGGAGGCGACCCCGCCGAGGCCTCGGCTTCCTGCTGACCCCTGGACGCGTGTCTGCCTCTCCTCCTGCCCCCTGCACCCCTTGACCCCGGGGAGGATGCACTCTGGAGCACAAAGGGAGCAGATGCCCAGTCTCCGTGGCAACGGGAGAATGCGCTCCATGGCAACCGCCCACTCAGCCCGATTTAGCCGGCCCCGTCGCCCTGGCGACCGCGGTGACGTCACCGCAGCTCCGAGCCCGGCGGGAGGGGTGTGGGAACGGGATGGGGGGGGGGCGGGGGGCGCCCCGCTGGGCTGGGGGAGGGGCCGGCCGGCCGGCGGTCCCCCGCCCCTGCAGCCCCTGCAGCCCTGCAGCCGGCCTCGAACCCGGAGTGCCCCCACCAGGCCGCTCCGGAGGGGGTTCCCGGGTCGCGCGGCCCCTCCCCAGGCTCCGGCCGCCTGCGGGGCTCCTTTGTTCCCTCCCGTGCAAAGGCCACTCCTGCAGGTCGGTTTCCTTAACAGCTGCGGGGTGGGGGTGCCCCGCTATTGTGTCCCAAGCACTTTCCTATTGCTAGGATTTGGACTCCTGGGGTGACATTCCGGGTCCCCGGCTCCTGGGCCCTGCGTAGGGGGGTGCAGCCCTAGATCCAGTGTCTGAAATACCAAAAAAACCAGTGTGTGTGTGTGTGTGTGTGTGTGTGTGTGTGTGTGCACTGTTAGGGTGGGCAGGTGGCCTGGGGGGAGACCTGGCAGGGCTGCCCTGCCCACACTGTGGCCTTGCACAAATCACCTCTCCTGGACCGACCTCTTTTTCGGTGTCTGTGAAATGGGTGCAAAAGGCTGTCCCCAAGCAGGTAGAGGGGGTCTGGGGGGCACAGGAGGAGAAGTTGGTGGAGGCTGAGTGCTTGTGTGGAAGCTTCTGGTAACTGTGTCATGATCAGATGCCCAGGCCTCATGGCACCCCTCCCCTCTTTGCAGCCCCTCAGAACTCCGCACCCTCAATCAAAGCTTAAGGGGCACGGTGGGGAGGGGGCTGGCCTTGCCCGCAGCCCACCCTAGCTGGATCTCTGACATACCAGATGGTCCCCCAAGCCCACCACGGGCGATTCCTGAGCAGAGCCAGGAGTTACCCACCCCCCACTCCCCCAGCATCACTGGGTGTGGCCCAAAAACAAAAAGGAAAAAAATCCAAATAAAAGCTAAATTCTGCTGGTCCCCAGGGAATCTTCCCCTCCTCCTCCTCCTCCTCGCCTCTCTCCCTGTGTGTGTCTCCCTGTCTCTGTCTCTTTCTGTCCTTGTCTCTGTTTCTCTCTCTTCCACCCCCCACCCCACGCCCCCCCCCCAGCCACTCTGGGCCCCAGAGCAGCTGGCGGGAGGGACACACTCACAAATCCCGCAACTAACCCTGCCATCCAGTTGACCAGCCCCCAATCTGGGATTATCCCCTCCGAGTATCTGTCTCCGGGGCTGGGGGCGGGGGCTGGGAGTGTGTGAGCGCATGTGTGAGTGACGTGAGTGTGTTGTGGATGGATGTGAGTCTGTGAGAATATGTGTATGTGTGAGAAGGTGTGTCTGTGTGTGCGAGTCTGGGTGTGTGTGAGTGTGTGTTACGAGTGTGGGGCATGTATGAATGTGTGGGCGTGTGCTATGAGAGAGCATACGATTGCGTGGTACTTGAGCGTAGGGACAGGCATGAATATGTGACTGAGAGTGTGTGTGGGCGTGTGTGAGAGTAAGGGTGTGTGTGTCTCTGTGGGGGGATGGGAGGCTATGAGCGTGTATGTGGCCGGGAGAGCACGCAGTCTGAGTGTGTGTTTGTGAATGTGTGCGACTGCGTGTATGTGACTGTGTGTGTGTGTGTGCGTTTGGCTGGGCGTGTATGTGACTGAGAGAGTGTGTGGATGTATGTTGTGTGTGTGTGTGTGTGTGACTGGGTGTATGTGTGTAGGTATGTGTGTGCAACCGTCAGTGCGTATGTGACTGTGTGCGTGCCCGAGAATGTGAGTGCGAGTGTGAGTGAGAGAAGGTGTGGGTGTGTTTCTCAGGGCCGTGGCCTTTCACCCTCCTTGCTTGTAGTACAACCTGAGCATTCCGGGGGTCCCTGGGGCCCCACAGCCGGCCCCACCTGCTCAGCGGTGATGACAACCGGGTGTGATGTCAGGGAATTCTCCCCAAGCAGGCCTCTGTGGAGTTGCTGTTCGAGCTGGGACAGGGAAGCCAGGACTTGGGGACAGCAGCCCGCCCCTTCCCATCCCGCTCCAGGCCCCCAATTGCCCGTGAGGAAATGCCACAGCCATAGTGGACGAGCCCCTGTGCCTGCATGTCCCCTCACAGAGCCTCCCTGGAGGCCCAGCACCCCCCCAGCCCCCCACCCAGCGGCTCCTCAGCCTGGCACTTCCTGTGGGAAGATCGTCTTTGTTAGCTGAGCCTGGCACACCTGCCCCCTCCCCTGGGTGCAGCCGGGCCTTGTTTACCTGGCAACCACTCCTGGCGCCTGTCCCCTGGCTACTAGCCGCCAGGTGATAAGCCTTCCCCAGGGCCGCCCGAAGAAGAAGGGGCTATTTATACTAAAGTAAACTACAACCAAGTATTAGCACCACCCTGCATCACAGTCACTGGAAGGCCCTGGCCTTGGGCAGGAGCAAAGGCCCCACTGCCCACAAGAGCTCCTCCGTCCCACCAAATCTCACCTCGAGAGGGGACTTGGTGGCAAGACTGGCTCTCATGGGGCCAGAGCGGGGAGGACGTTTGCCTCGCATGTGGCTGACCTGGGTTCGATCCCCGGCATCCCATATGGTCCCCCAAGCACCACCAGGAGTAATTCCTGAGTGCAGAGCCAGGAGTGACCCCTGAGCATCACTGGGTGTGATCCAAAGGGCCAAAAAATTAAAGAAGAAAATAAAGAACAAGACTTGGTCTCATGTCCCAGACCACACATAGGTCCTGCCCAGGGACCAGAGCTCATGAGGTCACAGGGCCACAGCCCCTCTGACAGGCCACGCCCTGCCCTGCTCATGGAGGGCCCAGAACTCGGGAGAGGAAGGACTGCACGATCAGAGGCCAGCAGCCCGCTTTCTCTCCGTCACCTCAGCTCTGCCTGGTGGCACAGCCCCCCAGCGCCGAGGGGAGGACGGGGGAGAGCGAAGAGGGTGAAACACCCCCACTGAAAACGAGCCTCCATGGGCCAGAGGAGTAGTAGTGGGTGGTAGTGGTCGTGGTCATTTGCCTTGCACGCGACTGACCCAGGTTCGATCCCCGGCACCCCATATGGCTCCCTGAGCCCCACTCGGAGTGACCCCTGAGTGCAGAGGCAGAAAGGAGCTGCAATCACCACCAGGGTGGCCCTAAAACAGACAAAAGAGATCCAAAACTCAGCCTCCAGGAGGAAGGCCTGGGGAGGACTTGCAGGAGAAGGTGTCACTCCAAGATTGTATGTGTGACAAGTCACACGTGCCCACGGACCCACATGCACACATGACTGTGGACTAGAACACTGCCAGGGGGAGGGAGGGGCAGGCCACGCTCCCCTCTGTGCCCTGGTCTGCTCCCTCGAGCTCTCCCTCAGTCCCCCCCCCCCCCCGCCCCCGGGTCCTCCAGGAGCCGACAGAACTCCTGGTTTCCTGCCGGGCCCCCTCTGGGGTGTCCCCTGGGACAACAGCCAAAGCAAAGGGGTGGAGCAGGGTCAGACAGTCATTAACTGGGTGTCTTCTCTCTCATCTCCCATCCTGGGCCTTACTTCCTACAAGTCGGGGGCAGTTCCTGAATTTTTTTTTTTTTTTTTGCTTTTTGGGTCACACCTGGCGATGCTCAGGGATTCCTCCTGGCTCTGCACTCAGGAATGACCCCTGGCGGTGCTTGGGGGACCATATGGGATGCAGGGAATCGACCCCGGATCGACCACGTGCAAGGCAAATGCCCTCCCCGCTGTGCTATCGTTCCAGCCCAGTCCCCGAATTCTGAGCACCCCTAGTTCCTAGGCAGCTAGAGAGAGACAGGCGGGAAAGACAGGCGCCAGCTCAAGGGACCGTCTCTCCAAGCCCTGTCCCTTTCCGTTCTCCTGCCCTCTCCTCGTTCCCCTTGCTCCCAACCCCACGCCAGCAAAGAGAAGGCAGGGGTGGGCTAGGGTTTTTTTTTCTTTTTGGGTCACACCCTGCAATGCTCAGGGGTTACTCCTGGCTCTGCACTCAGGAATCACTCCTGGCGGTGCTCAGGGGACCATATGGGATGCTGGGAGTCGAACCCGGGTTGGCCGCGTGCAAGGCAAACGCCCTACCCGCTGTGCTATCGCTCCAGCTCCAGGGGTGGGCTCGGGAGAGAGAGAGCTGGTGTGCAGAAAGGGAGAAAGTGGATGCAGTGAGGACGCGTCAGGGTGAACTTTGGCCGGCTCGGACACATGTGCACTGTACTGGGGGGTCTCCCACCCTCTGCGCCCAGACTGAGGTGCAAGGGGTGTCCAGCAGCTGGGTTTGACTTCCTGCTGGCACTCGGGGTGCAGAGCAATGGGGGATCTATTTATGGAGGATGTGAAGTTGGGGGGTGGTTGAAGCAGTTCTAGTCTCCCTGTCCCCCATCTCTTTTTCAGTTTTGGTTTTGGGGCCACAGTGATGCTCAGGGCCTACTCCTGGCTCTGTGTTCTGGTATCACTCCTGGTGGGTCTTGGGGGACCCTGTGGGGTGCCGGGGATCAAACCCGGGTCAGCTGCCTGTAAAGCAAGTGACCTCCCGGCTGGGCTGTAATTTCTGCCCTCCGACTCTTTCTCTAGGTTTTGTCTCTTCCGTTTCCCAGGAGGCAGAGGGGCAACAGCTCTGTCCAGGGGTGTCCCGGCGCCCAGCTGCTCAGTTTGTGGGAGCCTGAAGGAGCAGCCCTCAGGAGAGCCTTCCAGGGCTCTCGTAGGGAGCAGCAGGGATGCGGGGGAGGCATGTGCTCCCCCCGCTGTGGGGCTGAGCGGCAGGCTGAGACCGTCTCCTGCCCTTCCTCACCAGCCTGGGGTCTGGGACACTGATGAGAAGAGACAAAGGGCCCTGACCTGCGGGAGAGATGGACGGTTGGTGGGCGAGATGCTGAAGTGGCCCGTCCTGGCCCCTGCCCCAGGCCCTGCACCCCGGAGGCCCCCTGGCCTGGCCAGTTTCCCAGGAGACACGAGGCCAGCCTGTTTTGAAGCAGCCCCCACTGCACTGACAGCCCAGGGGCACCTCGCAGCCCACGCCCTCCCCACCCCCACCCGCGCTGTCCCACAGAGGGTCCACAGTTGTCTCTCCGCCTCCTAGTCCAGACTTGGTCAGCAGTGCTGCCCTGTGGCCGGGAGAAAGCGGGAGAAGCCAGCTGCTTGCAAAGATCATGGTCACGCTCTACTCCCTGTCACCCTTTTCTCTAGGGGAGAGAAAAAGCAGGCATGGACCGTCCAACAGGCAGGAAGGGAGCTAGGTAGAGAGAGGGACTTCCTGGGGAGGAGAGGGCTGGAAATCGGTGTGGGCTGTCTGGAGGAGGTGGCCAGCCCGGGCCCCGCCCACCTGGGAACTCACCCCTGGAAGTGTCTTCTGCTCGTGCAGGGCACTCTGGGCCTTCAGGGCTGAATCGCGGGCACAGTATGTCAGGAAGGCACATCCTGAGGGGCCAGGGCAGAGAGACCAGGGGGCTGAGTCCTGGGCTCACCTCCTTGAGAGAAACCCCAGCATGGGATGGGGCAGGGTGGTAGCTTGCCGCTGCCTGGAGGAGGTGGCCCCCAGCGCCAGGAGCCAGAGGAAGCAGGCGGGACGGGAGAGCAGACAGCCTGCGTTCCTGCTCTGCCTCTACCTTGGCCGTCAGCCCCTCTCCACTCACCCGTTTGCTCCGTTCCTGCTCCTCTCCCCACAGCGCCCAGCAGAGGGAAGGAAAGGCCGGGCCAAGCAGGAGTCCCAGGGCCAGTGCCAGGAGCAGGGCCGTGCCCGGTGCTGGCCTGGCGCTGAGGGGCTGCCCAGCCTCGCCACAGCCCCCAGACAGCCTGAGGAGGCAACTTCCTGCACTTCCAGGCCTCTCACTGATCCCACCCTGATTCTGGGGGCCCCACCTGCCTGCCCCGTGTCGCTGCCACTCTGCTCAGGGTTAGCCCCGAGCTCTGTCCCAACTCTTACCTCTTGTCCCCATGGCAGCCATGGCCTGGGATGCTTAAACGCGCACACACACACACACACACACACACGCACGCATGCACCTGCCTGGCCCCTTATCTCCCTGCCCGGCCATCTGGAGCCTCAGCCCCTGCTGGCCTCAGCCCACCGCGTCACCTCCCCTCATCCCCCCTCATCCCGGGGTCCAGCTCTCTGCACCTGCACTGACCACTTCCCCCTCCGAGGCCCTCCTTCTCCCTCCGCCTGGAGCACTCTGGCCAGCCGGGCTGAGTCCTCCAGCTCCCCCGGCGACTCCCCAGCCCCAAGCCAGCCCCCCGCCCCCCCCAGGTGGGTCTCTGGTCCTGGCTGGCCCCTTACCCTTGTGCAGCCCTGTGTACTTGTCCTTAATGACAGTCAGCTCGAAGATCCGGCCGAACTGTTCGAAGATGGGCTTCAGGTCCTTTTCGTCCAGATGCCGGGGGATCTGTCCCACAAACAGCTTGATGGCATCTGGCTCCTTCATTGGGGCGGCCCGGGAGGAGGGGCCGAGAGGGGGGCCGGGGAGGGGCCGGGGGCTTTCCCTGTGGCCCCCAACCCCAGGACTTGGCAGAGGAGTGGTTCAGCACACAAAGGAGGAGGGGGCTGGGGGAGCCAGGGGTGGGGGTCAGGGATCTAGGCAGACTCGGCCATGCCACCAGGGGGCATCGCCCAAACAACAGTCACCCTCCAGGAGGATTGGCAGGTCGCCCGGCCGGGGGGCCAGTGCGGTCGCCCCCCAGACTGGGGGTTGGGGGGGGGGGTCGCCGGGGCCCTGGGGAGGCGAGGCGGGCCAGGAGGGAGAGGGAGGCAGGTGGGAGCGGAGAGGGTGCAGGCGGAGGGGGTCGGCCTGCCGGGGGCCGGGGGTGCCACCGCGTGGGGGGCACGCCGGGCAGGTGGCACGGCGCTGGCCTCCCCGAGAGCACCGCCCCGGGGGCTGGTCCTTCTGCCGGGCGCGGAGATCCCGATGCTCGCTCGCTCGCTCGCTCTCGGAGGGCGGCGGGGCTCCAGGGGGACCCCTGCCCGCTGCCCCCTCCGGGCCCCCCTCGGCCCCCTCCCCCCGCCCCGGTCCCCCGGGCCTGGGCTGCCGCCGGCTGCTCCCGCCGCGGCTCTGCCCGCTGTCCCGGTCACCTGGGTCCCGGAGCTCTGCTCCCCGGCCGCGCTCTCCCCAACAAAAACCTCCCCCCTGCACGCCCCCGGCCCCGCGCCCACGCCGCTCCCCTGACAGCGCTGATGTCAGTCCCAGGGGCGGAGGGCAAATTCCCCACCCCGGCGAGGGACGCACAGCCGGCCCGCCCCGCCCCGCCCGCCGCCCCTCCGGAGCGGGGCGCCGAGGCGCGGAATTTAGCGACGAGCCCTAAGGCGGGGCCCATTGTTCGGGGGCCGGAGCTGTCCCTGGTGCTGGAGGCGCGGGCCGGGAGCGGCGGGGCCGGGGCGCCCCGGGCTGGGGGGCGGGAAACTCTCCCCGGGAGGCCGGGGGTCGCGCGGCCCAGCGGAGGCTCTGCCGCGGGGGGCTCCCCGGACCCCGACCCCTCGCATCCCGGGGCTCGGGGGTCGCGCCCGGCACAGACGCTCCAGCGAGTCCAGCCCGGAGCCCGGCAGGTTCCGCTGCCCTCGAGGCCAGGGGGACCCCAGTCCCGCTCCCGACGGCTCTGGGACCTGGAAGAAGCGCCCCCCACCCAGGCTTGGGGGGCGCCCTCCCCTCCCTCCTCCACCCTGCCCGGCCCCACAATGCAGGGGGCAGCTCCACCTCCTCCGGGTGCTCCCTGCAGGGTGCCAACCTTTGGGGGGGGGGACTGTCCTCCTTCCTGGTGCCCCTGCCCTCGGGGGCTGGCTGGCTGATGGCCCCACTACAGTGTCACTGAATAGGTCCCCACCAATCCCAGCACCCCCCGGCCTCAGCTCCTCTCCTGGACCTGATCACAGCAACAGGCACCTTGGCACCTCCTGTCCCCCAAGCACGGCTCCCACAGGCCGGCTCGTGTTTAAGTGAGGGATGTCAGACTCGGGATGATGCAGATCCTCTCCTCAGAGCGGAAAGAGATGAGGAAACTAAGGCCCAGAGCGAGTGACTACACCAGCTGCCTGGGCACACATGGCAGGAGTGTCTCTCTGGGCATGATGCAAGCCCGGCTGCTGTGTGCAGACTCAGGTCCCACAGCAAACGCTCATCCCCTGGGGAGGGAGAGTGGTAATCCTTTCCTACACTTCTGTTTCCTTCCTTTTTTTCTCTTTTGGCCACACCTGGCAGAGCTCAGGGCTTACGCCTGGCTCTGGGCTTAGGAATCATTCCCGGGCAGCGGCGTGGACAATCGATCCTATGGGGTGCCTTGCCAGGCAAGTGCCTTAGCCATTGTCCTAATCTCCGTGGCCCTCCTGTGGCTTCCTTTGAGCCTCGGTAGAGAGATGTCCTCCTCCTACTGCTTGGCTCTGGACTGAAGAGACAGGAGAACAGTTCTGGCCTTGCACACAGCCGACCTGGGTTCGATCCCCAGCACCCCAGATATCTCCGAGTCCTGCCAGGCGTGAGCCCTGGGCACCGCTGGCTATGGTGGTGCCAAACCTAAACCAGACTGCTGCTTGCTCTTCCGTGGTCACCTTCCGTCCTGACTTAGCCCGAGGGGTCTAGGGCCAGCAGACAGGTTGTAGTAGATATATGTGTTTGTGACTCCATGGGGGATCCGCGGGGTCCCAGAGGCCTGGTGGAAGGGGAGAGAGCTCATGATTGTGTGGGAGAGGCAGTAGGGCATGCGCTGGCAGTGCCAAGGAATGAAGGGCACAGCACATCTGGAGAGTAACTTTCCACTCCCGCCCTGCCCCCTAGGGTGACTGATTCTCACTTCTAATCTGATCTCGATATTTATGGAGATGTTAAGCAGATCACGCCCCTGCGAGGGTGCCTGAAGACCCCAGGCTGGTGATCTCATTACTCCTTCTCTGTCAGCAGAACTGCCGCCCTGCGTGGGCCTAATCATATTAATTGAAATATTAAACATTCGCAAAAATGAATGCTAAAATGAGCCTCCCTGGCGCCTCCCCCCAGCCAGCAGTTGGGGAGCCAGCTGCAGGGAGCAGAACTCTCTAATCCCGGGACTAGTCTGGGGCCCCACATGCAAGTCTCCAGGCCTGCAGAAGGCAGAGGGGGAGCCCGAGGGGAAAGGGACACACAATCAGGAATGTCTGTTCTCCAAGCTGCCCGCAGATGAGGTCTCCAGAGGGAAGATCGGAAAACACCCTGCTACTCTGAGGCCCATTCTGGGGAGCTGCTGCCAGGGAGCAAATGGGATTTCTATGCCCTAGTTCCTCCAGGGCTCTACCCCTACCCTCTCCCCAGTTTTCTTCTCCCTTGTGGTGCTAGGGTGGTGTCATGCCAAGGACACTTGACAGAGGCACTGAATTCCAGGCCTCAGCTAACATATATAGAGAGTGGGGAGAGAGAGAGTGGCCCAAGATACCACAGCAGGCACTTACCTTTCATGCAATCAACCAGGTGGGACCCTGGCACCCCATAGGGCCCCTGAGCCTCTGAGCAGAGCCAGAAGCAAGCTCTGAGCACTGCTGGGTGTGGCCCAAATGCTTCCTCTCCCACCCCCTCGCCAAAAACAAACAAACAAAACCCCAAATACCCCAAATGTTCTTGGGGTGGACCACACTCCACAGAGCTGGGCGGACCAGGCAGTGCCAGAGAGGGAACCCAGGGCTTCCACGGGTAGAGTGGGGCAGCCTGACCCCAGTTCAATTCCAGCACCCCGTGTGAGTCCCTGCGCCCTGTGCCCTGCCAGCACTTGGCCCAACCCCCATGAGAAGATGACTCACTTTAGAGACTAGCTCTGGAGTCTTCAGAAATGAGAATTGCTGAAAACTGGGGATGTTTTTCAGAAAGGGCAAAATGTATGTGGGGGCAGCAGACTCACCAAAGGAAAACAATGTGAAGGCATCTGTGGCAGAATTTCTGAGCGTGACAAGGAATCGATTACATAACTTCCTTCCCTCCCGTGGCTTCTCTCTCAAGTGGTAAAGTGAGGCAGGCCTGCAGGAGGGAGCATGGGACCTTCTTATGGAAACGGAAGTAGGCAGCCAGGGAGATGGCCTCAAGGATGGGGTGTCGGTGTCTGGAGCCACAGGGAGCACAAGCAGGTAGGCACCAGCCCCCTGAAACCAGGGGCTGGAGAGACGCTACATTGGTTAGGCACTGGTTCAATCCCCAGCACCCCATAAAACGCTCCGTGGGTTGACTCCGCTGGGTTCCTCGCCTGAGCAAAACCGGGTATACAGCCTCTGAGCACTGCCAGTATAGCCCCTCAAATAAAAACAGAATTAAATAAAAGCAAAAAAAAATTTTGGGGGGGTCACACCCGGCAATGCTCAGGGGTTACTCCTGGCTCTGCACTCAGGAATTACTCCTGGCGGTGCTCAGGGGAACCATCTGGGATGCTGGGAATCGAACCTGGGTTGGCCACGTGCAAGGCCAACGCCCTCCCCGCTGTGCTATCGCTCCAGCCCCAAAGCAAAAAAATTTTAAAGAAAAACAAAGGAAAAAAGCAGGTGGGAATGAGGCCGAGGGGGAGAGCACGTGCTTCACACCACTTCCTGGGTTTGAGTCCAAAGCACCACATACACTAACTGTCACTGTCACTGCCCTCCCGTTGTTCATCGATTTGCTCGAGCGGGCCCAGTAACATTGTGAGACTTTACTGTGTTTGCATATATATCGAATACATCACCGGTAGCTTGCCAGGCTCTGCTGTGAGGGCGAGATACTCTCGGTAGCTTGCCGGGCTCTCCGAGAGGGGTGGAGGAATCGAACTCGGGTTGGCCAGGCTGGCTGCGTGCAAGGCAAACGCCCTACCGCTGTGCTATCGCTCCAGCCCACATACACTAACACATAAAATACAATTAAAAAATCTCTCACAATCACAATCACAAATCATCCTGTTATTCGTCGATTGCCTCGAGCAGACCCCAGTAACGTCTCCTTCATCCTGGCCCTGAGGTTATATTCAAGGCTCTTTAGGAGAATGAGACCCATCGTTGTTACTGGTATTTGGCATATTGGGGACGCCACGGGGAGTTTGCCAGACTCTGCCGTGTGGGCAGGCTACATTCGGTAGCCTGCCAGTTTGTCAAAGTAGGAATGAGATGTCATAATAAGATGTCGCGCGGCCGCATTTGCTGGTTCCGGGAGCTGGATTTTATAGTCTCTGAGTCTTGGCTGCTGATGGGATTACACAGCGCCAGGGGGCCAGTTGGTGGGTGTGACCCCCGCCTACTGGAATTTGGAGGATCTGGGTGGAGGATGCTCGACTCCAATCCGAGTAGGCTTGGAGATCTCTGCCCCGGAACCCGCGTGGCTTTGTCCCTCTGCCGGTACCTTCAGGTGTGCGGAGAGTGGTCTCAGCATGGTGGTGGCTGGTCCTGGAGGTCTTCGGCTGCCGGAGCCCTGGTCGGGGTGGGGAGGAAAGCTCAACCCGCTCCCCTCCAAGGGTCCCGGCGAGGAATAGCCAGGCACGGGGGCAGGAGACTGCGCTCTTCTCCTCCGGGAGCTGGTTTTTATAGTCTCAGAGTCTTGGCTGCTGATGGGATTACAAAAATCTCTAAGACATAAAAAAAAAAAAAGGCGGGGAGGATAAATCTCTGCTGGTGATATTCAAGGTCTACTACTGACTCTGTGCTCCATTTCTCTCCTGGCAGTGCTCAGGGGACCATGTGCTGTCAGGGATTGAACCAGAGTCAGCTGCATGCAAGGCAAGTGCCTTAACCTTTGCACTAGCTCTATGGCCCTTTTTTTTCCTTGGTGGGGCCACACTCAGTGGTGCTGGGGTGATGGGGCTGCTTCCAGTTTGTTTTCTGGAAGACAGGCAGTGCTGGGGGACCATGTGGTGCCAGGGATGGATCCTGGAACTCCTGTGTGCAAAACCTGAGCTCAGGCCACTAAGCTGTCTTGGGCCTCCTACAGAATTATCTTTAACTATAAATGTATTAAATGAACATATTCAAAATATTATGCAGTGTGCTTACTTCATGATCTATCTGAAATAGTCAACAAGGAGTCCAGATAAAGAATATCAGTGAGGGGCTGGAGCAATAGCACAGCGGGTAGGGCGTTTGCTTTGCACGCGGCCGACCCGGGTTCGATTCCCAGCATCCCATATGGTCCCCTGAGCACTGCCAGGGGTAATTCCTGAGCGCAGAGCCAGGAGTGACCCCTGTGCATTGCCGGGTGTGACCCAAAAAGCAAAAAAAAAAAAAAAGAATATCAGTGATGGGGGCTGGAGAGAGAGTACAACAGGGAGGGTGCTTGCCTTACGCATGGCTGACCAGGGCTTGATCCTTGGCACACAATATGGTGCATGACCCCCACCAAGTGAGCTCTGTGGACAGAACCAGTAGTGAGCCCCGAGCACTGCCAGGTGGCTTAAAAATTAAAATAAATACATAAAAGAATATCAATGAGATTTTTAAAAATTGTTTTGGGGCCACATACACCTGAAAATGCTTAGGGCTTTAATGTGATGTTTTGCATTATAATATATATATATATATATATATATATATATATTTTTTTGCTTTTTGGGTCACACCCGGCAGTGCACAGGGGTTACTCCTGGCTCTGTACTCAGGAGGGTGGTGCTCAGGGAACCATATGGGATGCTGGGAATCGAACCCGGGTTGGCCGCGTGCAAGGCAAATGCCCTACCCACTGTGCTATCTCTCCAGCCCCTGCATTATAATTTTCATACTGAATTTTTAAATCCAGAGTGGATAGGATAATAAATATAAGTTTATAAGTCCACAGGGCACATCTGACAGAACTCTTGTCCCATGGCTCATGTCTGTGGTACTCACAGGACCAGCTCTGGGGCTGGGCTCTGGGCTGAGCAGGAAGTGACAGATCTTGGCCAACAGGAACTATCAATTCCAATTAACCTCTGCTCCTGGATGAAAAAAAAAAAAAAAAACTTCTGACAGATGGCTTTCTATCTCTCTCCTCTCTCCATCTCTCCCCTCCCTTCCCTCCCCCTCCTCTCTCTCCACCATCCACACCACCCAGCAATCGCACCACAAGCAAATGGACTTCCCAGTATCCCTACAAAGGGAAAGGGTGCAGGTTAAGAAAAAAAACTAGGGGGGAAGAAACCAAATGGTTCCCACCCGGTATGGGAACCCTGTTCATGGCCTTTAGCTCTTAACCTACCCAGACTTTTTCCTGGCGCAGGAACTGCCAGCAGTTTTATTTCTTTTCTGTCTTTACTGAGGGCTGGAGCGATAGCACAGCGGGTAGGGCGTTCGCCTTACAAGCGGCCAACATGGCCGACCCGAGTTCGATTCCTCCGCCCCTCTCGGAGAGCCCGGCAAGCTACCGAGAGTATTCGATATGCCAGACACAGTAACAACAAAGTCTCCAATGGAGACGTTACTGGGCCCGCTCGAGCAAATCGACGATCAACGGGAGGGCCTTTACCTTTACCTTTACTGAGGACAGAGGAGACCAGTGAGGTTCCTGCAAGATCAGGCCTGTCTTGGGGTGGGGGCCTTTCTTCAGAATCCTCTGCGATCCCCACCCTGTGCTGTCGGTGGTGCCCGCGTGTCTGCGTGCCAGCCTCTTGCCTCTTCCAGGCCTCTCTCTTCAGTGCTCAGCATTCTGGGTCACTCCTCTTTCTTCACTAGATCCTGGAAGAATTCTTCCCCTCTCTGGTCCCGTTGGAATCGGAAGAAACGACTGAAAGTTGGGGCCATAGCACAGCCAGCAAGGCACTTCGAGGGCAGCCTGCCCAAGTTTGATCCCCAGCACCCCAGAGGATTCCTGGAGCAATAGAAGTGATGCCCGAGGGCAGAGTCAGGGTTTCTCCCGAGCATCCCTGGATGTGGCCCCCCAAACCAACACCCCCTCCCCACAAAGGAAACTTTATAAGGAGCCAGTCAGTCTAATCCATGAGAAGGACACTTGCAGGGACACTCCGCAGCCTACCCCAGGTCCTTTGCAGCACCCAGTTCACATCTGAAGACCCCCAAGCCGGACCTGATGGAAGGGCAGAGACGGTGCTCGCCTTGTACGCGGTGGACCCGGTTCTCCGAGCCCCGCCTGGAGTGGCGAACCCTGAGTGCAGAGCCAGAAGTCAAGGCCCAAGCACCGCCGGGAGTGGCCCCAAGACCCGGGTGGGGGTTGTTCGCAGGGCTGGAGGCCTGTCTTGCAAGCGGGGGCCCCTTTCCATTCCCAGGCACCCCAACGTGGGCCCTGGAGTACACGGGAACTGCCCGGGGGTGCACATCCCGTTCCTTCCTCCCCCGCCCTCGCACCCCTAACACCCCTAACACCTGAGACTTCTACGTTAGAACCTAGAAAAGACCGGACTCCCCACTCGGAGCAGCCCCAGTCACTCCTCTAGGCCCCGCCCCTCGAGCCGAGGTGGGGCCGGGGCGGGGCCTGGCTGGAGGACGGGGCGGGGCCTGGCTGGGGGCGGGGCGGGGCCTGGCTGGGGGCGGGGCCTGGCTGGAGGACGGGGCGGGGCCTGGCTGGGGGCGGGGCGGGGCCTGGCTGAAGGACGGGGCGGGGCCTGACTGGAGGACGGGGAGGGTCCTGGCTGGGGGCGGGTCCTGGCTGGAGGACGGGGCGGGGCCTGGCTGGAGGACGGGGCGGGGCCTGGCTGGGGGCGGGGCGGGGCCTGGCTGGAGAACGGGGCGGGGCCTGGCTGGAGGACGGGGCGGGACCTGGCTGGGGGCGGGGCCTGGCTGGGGGCGGGGCGGGGCCTGACTGGAGGACGGGGCGGGGCCTGGCTGGAGGACGGGGCGGGGCCTGGCTGGGGGCGGGGCGGGGCCTGGCTGAAGGACGGGGCGGGGCCTGGCTGGAGGACGGGGCGGGACCTGGCTGGGGGCGGGGCCTGGCTGGAGGACGGGGTGGGACCTGGCTGGAGAACGGAGCGGGACCTGGCAGGGGGCGGGGCGGGGCCTGGCTGGAGGACCGGGAGGGTGCTGGCTGGAAGACGGTGCGGGTCCTGGCTGGAGGCAGGGCGGGTCCTGGCTGGAGGACGGGGCGGGGCCTGACTGGAGGACGGGGCGGGGCCTGGCTGGAGGCGGGGCGGGGCCTGGCTGGAGGCAGGGCGGGGCCTGGCTGGGGACGGAGCGGGGCCTGACTGGGGGAGGGGCGGGGCCTGGCTGGAGGACGGGGCGGGGCCGGTCGGGGGCGGGGCCTGGGCGGGGCGGGGCCTGGCTGGGGACGGAGCAGGGCCTGGCTGGAGGCAGGACGGGGCCTGGTTGGAGGACGGGGCGGGACCTGGCGGGGGGCAGGGCGGGGCCTGGCTGGGGGCGGGGCGGGGCCTGTTGGGAGGACGGGGCGGGGCCTGTCGGGGGCGGGGCGGGGCCGGGGCGGGGCGGGGCCGGAAGCCGGGCCGGGCCGGCGGCGCGCCCGTCGCCTTGACGACGCGGCGGGATGGCGCGGAGGCCCGGCGCCCTGCCTCTGAGCCCCCTGCAGCTGGAGGAGCTGCGCCGTTGCAAGGTGTGCGCGCCCCGTCCCCGCTCCCGGAGCGCCGGGTCCCGAGAGCGAGGCGAGCCCGAGGCCGGAGGGACGCGGACACACTCGGAGGCCGCACCCAGCCCCGCGGGCTCCCGAAGTGCGGGGGGCGCGGCGCGGGCCGGGGCCGGGGCCGGGGCCGGGGGCGCGGCTGGCGGGCGCCCGAACCCGGACCGGGGCCTCCCCATTCGGGGTCCCGCCTGGCGAGCCGGGAAGGGGGTCCAGCCGCCCGCGCCGGAGCCAGGCGGGTCCCCGCCCCTTCACGCCCCCTTCCCGCCCCCGCGGTTGGTCCCCGGAGTTCTTTTCTCTGCTCCCGCAGCCTGACCCTGTGCCTGACCTTGGCTCTTGCCCCCAGATTCAGACCCGGATCGCTAACGAAAAGTACCTGAGGACCCACAGAGAAGTGGAGTTGCTCGTCAGTGGTTTCTTCAGGTAGGTCATTTTCCAGACCGGTCTTAAGCAAACAGTGGAGATTATCATTATTTCATTTAGTTATTTATTTTGCGTCACACCCGGCGATGCACAGGGGTCACTCCTGGCTCTGCACTCGGGAATCACCCCTGGCGGTGCTCAGGGGACCATATGGGATGCTGGGATTCGAACCCGGGTCGGCCGCCTGCAAGGCAAACGCCCTCCCCGCTGTGCTATCGCTCCAGCCCCCAAATCATTATTTTTTTTTAATTAAAATCTTTTCTAAGATTGTGTTGGGGTCAGTGTGAGAGTCACAAAAGCAAGACCTAAGATGTGGCTCAGCAAGAAAGCACCTGCCCTGCATGCATGAGACCTGGGTTCAAACCCGGATCCCACTGCAGAGCCGGGGCCAGAGTCCTCGCACAGTGCGTAGGCCCCTTGCGTTGTGCGCTGCAGAGTCCCAGCAACTCCTGTCGTACCCTGAGCTTGCCAGTGTGGCCCAGATGCTCCCCTCCTCCCACCACTGTCACCGTCACTGTCCACTGCCCTCCCGTTGTTCATCGATTTGCTGGAGCGGGCCCAGTCACATTGTGAGACTTGGTACTGTGTTTGGCATGTCGAATTCGTCATGGGGAGCTTGCCAGGCTTTGCCCTGTGGGCGAGACACCCTCGGTTGCTTGCTGGGCTCTCCGAGAGGGCCGGAGGAATCGAACTCATGTCACCATGTCAGCCATGTGCAGGGCAAACGCCCTACCCACTGTGCTATCGCTCCAGCAAAAACAAACAAAAAAACCCTCCTCCTCCTCCTCCTCCTCCTCCTCCTCCTCCTCCTCCTCCTCCTCCTCCTCCTCCTCCCTCTCCCCTCCCCCCAGCAAGCACTCTACTGCAAACCAAACATTAAAAAAAAAAACAAACCAAAAACACCAAAACTTTTTGGATCTTTTTTCCTCCTCCTCCTCCTCCTCCTCCTCCTCCTCCTCCTCCTCCTCATCTTTTTTCCTCCTCCTCCTCCTCCTCCTCCTCCTCATCTTTTTTCCTCCTCCTCCTCCTCCTCCTCCTCCTCCTCATCTTTTTTCCTCCTCCTCCTCCTCCTCCTCCTCATCTTTTTTCCTCCTCCTCCTCCTCCTCCTCATCTTTTTTCCTCCTCCTCCTCCTCCTCCTCCTCCTCCATCTTTTTTCCTCCTCCTCCTCCTCCTTCTCCTCCTCCCTCCTCCTCCTCCTCCTCATCTTTTTTCCTCCTCCTCCTCCTCATCTTTTTTCCTCCTCCTCCTCCTCCTCTTTTTTCCTCCTCCTCCTCCTCCTCCTCCTCCTCCTCTTTTTTCCTCCTCCTCCTCCTCCTCCTCCTCATCTTTTTTCCTCCTCCTCCTCCTCCTCCTCCTCCTCCTCCTCCTCCCCTCCTCCTCCTCCTCCTCCTCCTCCTCCTCCTCCTCCCTCCCCTCCCCCCAGCTGTGCTCAGGGCTTACTCCTGCTTCTGTGCTCAGTGATAACTCCTGGTGGAGCTTAGCTTGGCCGGGGATTCAACACGGGCCAGCCACATGTAAGGCAAGTGCCTTAATCCTTTTTTTTATTTTCACAGCCCCATCCTGTCTGCTGCTTCTAGGGTCTGAGAGTAAGAAAATATCCTGGGATGTACATGTTTCCCAACTCTGGGATTTGTCGCATCGAGAGTTTCCTTCTGCTGCCTCTGGAGATTTCCTGGTTATTCTTTCAGTTCTCAAAAATATTAAAAGTCATTCACTTTAGCCGTAATGGAATCTTATGATACTTGGAAGAGGGAATTAGGCCTGGAGAAACTCAGCAGGCTCTCCTTGGGTGAAGAATGCTTTTCCCAACAGAGCTTGATAAGATAATTAAGGGGCCGGAGCACAGTACAGCAGGGAGGGCCCTTGGCTTGCACACGGTCAGCTGACTCAGGGTCCATCCCCAGCATCCCATATGGTCCCTGATCCCGATCAGAAGTGATTCCTGAGTGCAGAGCCAGGAGTAAGCCCGGAGCACCACTGGGTGTGACCCTCAAACCAAAATAAAGAAATAAATACTAGCCCCAAACATGCCCAGCCCTGGGGCTGGAGCAATAGCACGGCGGGTAGGGCGTTTGCCTTGCACGCGGCCGACCTGGGTTCGAATCCCAGCATCCCATATGGTCCCCTGAGCGCTGCCAGGAGTAATTCCTGAGCGCAGAGCCAGGAGTAACCCCTGTGCATTGCCGGGTGTGACCCAAAAAGCCAAAAAAAAAAAAAAAAAAACCACATGCCCGGCCCTTCCCTACCCAAAGAACATTGAAGAAATTCCAGCAGCTGGAAGTTTGTTCCAGAGTCCATGCACCTTTTCTTTCAGCCCTCCACCCCTACACACACACACACACACACACACACACACACACACACACTTTCAGCATGGCGGTTTGCTCGAATGGAAAACCCTCCAACCGGAGGGAAGGCCCGTCTGGAGGAAGAACAGCCAAGATGGCACTGATGAGAAGAGTCCATCTCCAAGAGTCCATCTCCAATGCTTTTTGCAGTGCAGAGGCAGGGCTGGACCCTAGTGGGGGCTTCTGTTTCCAGGCGCTGCCTAGTCTCTAGCCCGGCCCATACCACAGTCCTCTGTGCATCGTCCATCTTCTTGCTCCCTGGCCCGCTCTGGATCAAAGCTCGTAGCTGGCAGGGCCCCTGTGAGGGTTTAGTCCCGTTTTCTTAAGCTCCATCCCCCGGCCGAGCCCCTCTCTTGCTTGCTGCACCTGGATCCAGCCCTGCGGGGCCCTGATTGCCTGCTGTGTTATGTTGGAAGAACACAGAAGCTGGGGGTCAGGGCCACGCCCCTCTGCTTAAAGCTGACCCCGTTGAGTAAATTCCACCACTCCCACCTCGGGTGTTTGGGGTCCCCCCAACCCCGGGGTCTCACTATTCCTTATTGACTTAAATGAATTCATTTATATTGGTTTTTGGCCCACACCTGGTGATGTTCAGGGCTCTGTGTTCAGGAGTTACTTCTGGTGGGGCTCAGAAGACCACTTGGGATGCCAGGGATTGAGCCTTGAGTCAGCCGCGTGCAAGGCACGTGCTCAGCCCTGTTATTCCTGATTTTATTTTTATTTTTACTATTTCTTTTTTTATCTTTTCTTTTCGGGTCACACCTGGCGATGCTAAAGGGTTACTCCTGGCTGTGCACTCAGGAATCACTCCTGGCAGTGCTCAGGGGACCATATGGGATGCTGGGAATTGAACCCGGGTCGGCCGCATGCGAGGCAGACGCCCTACCCGATGTGCTATCGCTCCAGCCCCTTATTCCTCATTTTGGCCACTTACCCAGCCTGCAGCCTCAGAGAGAGGTTTGGTGGGGGAGTAAGGAGGGGGAACAGGGAATCACTCTGTGAAGTTTGGTTTTATTGGGCTAGTGATCTGGCTTGGACCAAGGGTCGTTTTGGGGTCCTCTGTCCATGTCCGTGCTGGGACATCGCTTAAAGCACGTTTTCCTCCCAGAGGAGCAAAAGGGATGAAAGTGCCTCTCCTGGGGAGCTGGCTACCCACGTGAAGAGGGAGTGAAGAGGGACTCAGCGGGGAGGCCCCAGCACCCCATTCCTTCCTGCCTTGCCCCCAAGCCCGGCAGGAGCTCAGGCTCTCCCTTTTGCTCTCGTTGGAGCTGCCCCCACGAAATCCCCCTGGCCCTTCTCCTGGGGCGGGTGAGAGCGGGGAGGCAGGGTGGACGTCCACAGTTCGGGGTCTCGCCAGCACCACCCCGTTTCCACCCAAGAAAGCTCGGGCAGGTGCTGCCACAGACACCTGGATTCGGGACGCAGTTGATTTTTGAATCGGTGTTGGTCATCGAAAGAAACCTTTTTACTGTTGCCAGTTTTTTTCTTGACCAATGTCCTGAGTTTTGCAATCCCCCCCGTTGGGGTGTGATCCACGATTGAAGATGCCAGAGCCTGGGGTGCGAAGCTCTTCCTTCCTGCGCTTGTTCTTCCCTGGTTCAGGAACGGGCCCGAAGCCCTTTGCCGACACCCCCACATGACACAGAGCCCTGGGAACGCAGCCCCCCTCCCCACCCCCCGGGAGACTCCAGGGTTTCAGCGCTTAGAGGCCTCCCTCTTCGGTGCCCAGTTCCTTCCTCTGATAGCAAGCACTTCTTGGGATGAGTTAGCCTTGCAGGCATTTGGCGATTCTGTCCTTTCTTTGAGTTACGGTTACCTGTTCTGACTTGGTTTTTGAGTCACACCCGGTGATGGTCAGGGCTTACTCCTGCTCTGCACTCAGGGATCACTCCTGGCAGTGCTCGGGGGACCTTATGGGATGCCGGGAATCGAACCTGGGTTGTAGTGTACAAGGCAAGCACCCTATAGGCCGCACTGTCTCTCCAGCCCCTAGGGGTGTGTGTGGGTGTGTGTGTGTGTGTGTGTGTGTGTGTGTGTGTGTGTGTGTGTGTTTTCAAAAATCAATCCCTCCTCTCTGGCATGGTAGGTAGGGTAGGTATAATCTGTGCTTAATCATTAGCGAATCAAACCGACGGCAAGGGGAGCAGAATTCCTGGTGTTTGGTGCACACCCTCCTGGATGGAGTGCCCGGAGGCTGGAGCGAGAGCGCAGGCCTCAGAATCCCAGACCGGGGCCTCATTCCAGTATTGATCCATTTTATGACCTTGCACAAATGATTAACTTCTGGAGACCCGGTTTCCCCGACGGAAGCCTTTTTCCTCGTGCACAGCCGCGCTCCGCGGCGCTGACAACGAGGGGTGTTTGTGAATGGACTTTATGAACCATAAAACTCCAGGTGCTCTGGGGAGTTTCCATGTCGCCAGGGCCTTGAGGACTGTGGGGGCGATTGGGGGTCTGTCCCTGGACTGTAGGTCCCGCAGCCTTCAAAGTCTTTCCCGCCTGGTTTTGGGGGTTCTCCTCACCCCGCCACAGGGGAATCGGGGCTGAACTTCCTCCGAGATTGTGGCAGCTTCTCCTCCTACTCGGAGCTGACTGCAGTGTCGGTGGTGGGGTTGTGGGGGGGTTTTTCCGGGTGAAGGCCCCAGGCCTGCTCCTGGGGACATGCCAGCCTGCCAGGGCCCACTCACTGCCTGCTGGCCCCAGAAAGTGTTCGTCGGTCTGTCTGCCTCTCTCTTTTATTAGCTGAACTTTTTTTTATTGCAGGGAGCAAGGTTCAGGGGTCACTCCTGGCTCTGCACTCAGGAATCACCCCTGATAGTGCTCAGGGGACCATATGGGATGCCGGGAATCAAACACAGGTCGGGGGTGGGCACGGCAAGCACCCTCCCCACTGTACTCTCTCTCCAGCCCCAACTGAACTATTTTTTGACAATTCCACTTACCATTTTGTCTTAACAAGCAACTTAAACCATTTTGAGCCTGCTGAGGAGGCCGGCTGGGACAATGGTGGGCTCTGAAGCACGTGAGCTGGAAGGCCCCTCGGAGCTTCCTGCCACACACCAAGTGCTCGCACTGCCAGTCCCCAAAAAGGCGAATGGAAAAAATCTTTAAGGGGCATCTGGGGGTTCCCCGACGGCTCTTCCCCTAGCCGCCTGCGATTCGAGGTGGGCCCGGGCCGCTCCCCCACCCGGGGCGGCCTGGGCCATGGGGCAGATGGTCGAGGAAATGAGGACCAAGCTGGTTGATTGGTCAGTTGCCGTTAATTCCACTCTCCCCACGCGCCTGCCCCAATCTCTCTGAGCCCCCCATCCTGGTCTCCCACTGCCCCTCATTCCCGTCTCCTCCCGGCTCTCCCGCTCGTCTCTCCACGCTCCGTCTCGCAGCCTGGGCTCTCTCTGTCCACCGCCTGCTCCTGTTTTCTTCTTCTACATTCTCCCTCTGTCCCTCTTGCTAGTCTCTCCGGGGTCCATCTTCTGCCCTGCTCTCTCTCCTCTCCACCTCTCTGGCCTCCCCAACTCCCTTATCTCTCCAGGCAGGTAGCCAAGTGAACGTTAAGAAAGCCCTTCCTGAGGGCCACCGAGTTCAAAGGAACACCACCTAGGATAAATATTCCAAAGCCCTTCCTGACCGCCCAAGGGAAAAATACCCCTTAAATGTGTTTCTCTTTTCCTCAGTCCAATAACTCTATCAACATCTCAATATTATTTATTTTTGTATGGACACAGTAAGAGATAACATTGAGGCTTGTAGGGCAGCTCTCCTGGGAACATCTTGCCTCAGACTCAGACTACAGTGCTCAGGACAGATTAATCTTTCCTTAACCCTAGCAGGGTCCAAATCTAGTTATTGCTTTTGGATCATGACCGCATTTGTCCATGACCAAGCTCTTAACTTATAGTTAAGCATTATGGCGCTTTGGCCAGGCCCATCATGATGCCAGGGTAGCACCTAGCTTACCGCTAGCCCCGGTTCCATCCAGTCCCTCGTCGGGACCCTGCTTTTGGGGGCGCTAGGAAGTAAAGGCAGCTGAGGCTTAGGTGAGAGAACAGATGCCCAGGAGGGAAATTTCACTGAGTGTCACATTACAAAAGCATGTCTTCTTGTGTCCATACCAAAAGAACATTGCTCTGAATAAACTACTCAAAGGACTTAGGGAGAAGTGAAAAACAATATTTACAAGTCAACAGAGCACAAAGAAAGTTACAGATAAACACAGGAATGGGAGCACTGTGATGGGAGCAACCCAATAAACCTAAACGACCTGAGGCTACGCAGGAAGGACAAAACAGTATTATCCTACAGGTGAAAAGGTTTCTCCCCTACAGGACTTTCTGACCCCTCAGCCCTGGTTAGCCTCATCTGCCCCAGGACAACAGCAGTTCCCGGGCTGGACAAGGTCACACTGCTGGTGTTTTTTTTTTTTATTTTGTTTTGTTTCTGTTTTTTTTTGTCACACCCAGTGATGCTCGGGGTCACTCCTGACTCTGCACTCAGGTATCACTTCTGGAACGGAACCCGGTCAGGCATGTGCGAGGCAGGGCCCTGGTGGTAAGGTTGGTGCTGGAACATTAAATGCCCAAAACAACTGTACTGGGGCCAGAGCAGTGGGACAGTAGCCAGGGCGTAGCCTTTCATGCACCCGATACTACGGGATGCTGGGGATCCATCCAGTCCGGGTTGGCTGAGTGCGAGGCTGGCACCCTACTTGCTGTACTATCGCTCCAGCCATGCCTTATTTATTTATTTTTTATTTTTCCTTTTTGGGTCACACCTGCTGATGCAGAGGGGGTCGTTACTCCTGGCTCTGCACTCAGGAGTTATTCCTGGCAGTGCTCGGGGGACCCTATGGGATGCTGGGAATTGAACCCGGGTCAGCCGCATGCAAGGCAAACGCCCTACCCGCTGTGCTATCGCTTCAGTCCCAACTTATTTATTTATTTATATTTTTTTTATTAGTGAAACACCATGAGGTACAGTTGTAGACTTACAAGTTGTTGTGCTTGGGTTTCAGTTAAACTTATTTATTTTTAACTGATGAAATAGATTTTAAGAATAGATTTTAAGAGGGCACAGTTATTCAAAGGAATTTTTCAACTTATTTTTAACTGATGAAAAGTTCCTTTGAATAACTGTGCCCTCTTAAAATCTATTCTTACAATAAATGGTCAGAGTAATTATAATAATGGTAATTACAGATTTCATGTCCGTATAAACACCCTTGAACTCCCATGATCTTGTGAACACAAGTCCTCTGGGTCTGCGATCCTAGAAGACCAGAAAGACTCTCTTACCTGTCCTGGTTTCTTGCTGTCCTCCAGGGAAATCCTGTTGCAAAGACCAGACAACATCCTTGATTTTGCTACCGGTGAGTCCAGTTCCCGCTCGCCCCGGCGTCTCCCGGACTCGGGCCTCCTCGCCTGACGCCCCCCTCCCACTGTGGGGCTTCTGGCCCCGGGACCTGTGAGTGGAGCAGATGGGCAGTGAGGCAGAGTTCCCTCAAGGCGGTGAAGGCTGTGGGCAGGTTCTCCACCCTGCTGCCCGTTAATGGCTGGAGGCCAGTGGCTGGGAGGGCAGGCTGGTGGGAAGGAAGGTTCTGGGGCTTCTGGCTGCAACCATTTCCTACCCGGGTCAGTGCGTCTGGGGCCTCTTCTCTCCAGGGCAGAGGCCCTCAGGACACTGTCGCCCGCCCAGTGCCCCGCTCCTCCCGAGGGACTGTCCAGAAGGCTGAATGGCCCCGCATGGGTCTGGACAGCAGGGTGGACACAAGAGCGTCACTTGGCATTAATTTGGGCTCCAGGATGGACCTGAAGTCAGCAGGAGGGGCCGTTCCGTCCAGCGTGTTCCCAGCCAGAGGCTCTTACAGGGTGTGCTCGTCCCTGGGTCCCCAGGGAGGGGACGTGTATCTCGGGCTGAGCACGCCCTGGCCGTCCCCGCAGCCCTCCCGCCCTCCCCCCTTCTCTCCAGTCACCTTCCTCCCGCTCTCACCCTGGGGTTAACTGGCCCCTGCTTTCTGATTCTTATCCCAGAATATTTCGTGGATCCAGCACTTCCCGACAAGATTCACATGCAGCTCACTAAGGAGAAGAAAACGGCTTAATTAGCAGAATCCTGATGTTCAGCTGTTGAGGGCCTGCAGCCGGCCGGCCTCATCTGGGGCGGGTGGGCCTCCCCCCGGCCGGGCCTGTACTCGGTAAGAGGGAATCGGGCTTCTGGGCTGTGAACCGAGCCAGACTGGGGAGCTGGACAAGTTCTGTGCAAGTGTTTTGCTCCCTTGACACTGTGTTGGGGACCTGGGGGCGCGGAGAGGCCCAGTATCTGTCAGGTGCGTCTTTCAAGAGAACTCTGCAGAGACGCCTGGGCGCACGGCCGTATGGGGGCGGGGGCGGCAGTGGGGTCCTCGAGTGGGTGAGGCGCCCGACAGGGTCCCTGAGCCCCCCAGGAGAGCGCAGAGTCAGGAGTCAGCCCTGAGCACTGTCGAGTGTGACTCCAAAACCAATAAGTAAGACCTCAGTGGCCCGAACTCCGATGGCCTTTCCCCGTCTTCTGGGGTGGGGGTGAGGGGGCGGCCCCACTGCCTGTGAGAGGGCGGGTGTCCCGGGCTGCTGTGGGTCTGGCCCTCGTGCTTGTCGGTGGGAGTTCTGGGGGACTGAATGTTGGGTGGCTTTTCCCTGGGGAGGGACACATTCCTGATTTCATAAAACTGTTTCTGTTTCGCAGGGTCACCTGGGAGCAGGCGAGCCTGTGGCCACCAGCTCGACTCTGCACGCCGCCCTGGACACTGGGCTGGGGCTGGGCTTTCAGAGCTGCTCATTAAAGACCTTCCTGATTGCTGTGGGCTCTTTGCTGGACCCCCCCGACCCCCGGCCCAGCAGGCCTGGCTCCCCGTGTGTGTGTGTGTGTGTGTGTGTGTGTGTGTGTGTGTGTGTGTTAGGCGGGGTCACTCTCCCAGAGGAACGGGGCAGTGGTGCCATAGCAACCAGAGCCCAGGGACTGTGTGGTTCCAGTCACTATGCACAGTGCATGGGTGGCCGTCCACTTAGTCCCCAGAAGCAGTCGTAAGAGGAAGAGGCCGGAAGGAGAGAGGATAAGCCCTGAGCTCCCACTGGCCAACTCAGGGCTCTTGTGGGGGGGGAGAGGTGGGGGTTCAGGCCACACTCAGTGGTGCTGTGGGCTTGGGGGGTGTCGGCCACATGCAGGGCAAGTGCCTCTCCCTCAGCCCCTCCGAGGCTGTCAGGAACAGACTACCCATCCTTTAGCTTCTTTTTTTTTCTTTTTGGGTCACACCTGGCGACACACAGGGGTTCCTCCTGGCTCTGCACTCAGGAGTTACTCCTGGCGGTGCTCAGGGGACCATATGGGATGCTGGGAATTGAACCCGGGTCGGCCCTGTGCAAGGCAAACGCCCTCCCCGCTGTGCTATTGCTCCAGCCCCCCCCATCCTTTAGCTTCTCCACTCAGGTGGGGAGCGGCCCGTTGGCTGCAGGAAGTCCTTCAGGCCTAGGAGGAGGGGGTGGCCTGTTGCTGTCCCTTCCCTTCCTTCTTGGAGGACCTCATCTGTGTGTGACTGTCCCCCCAGGGCAGGGCCGTGTCTCTCCATTCCTGTCTCACTGTCTCCCTCCCAGCAGCACCTTGTGTTGTAGTAGGAAGGGCAGCCCCCCAGGCATGGGAGCACCATTAAGATGTCACTTAATAGCAGTTATTTTTGGTGCTCTCAGAATTCACACCTCAGCAGCCAAGACCCTGACAAGGAGGCCTTCCCTGTTTAGAAAATCCAGATGAGATCTGCAGAAATCCACCTCTCCTGAGGGCTCTGCTGGGGGTCAGGGTTGGCACGGGGAGGGGAAGGCCTGCGACAAGGCAGGCGGCGAGAGACCAGCAGAGGACAGTGACAGGACAGTGACTCGCTGTGACTCACCAGGGGTGTCCCTGGAGGAAACGCCTGGGCAGCGTCTGGACTGTGAGTGACCCCACAGCAGTGACCGGCCAGGGACTGCGACATGGTCCTGGGGGAGGAGCCTGCTGACTCCGGCCTGCCTGCCTGGGCCCTTTGGACTCCCAGATTTACTTCCGGGCCCGTTTCTTGAGAGCAAATAGGGGATTCAGAGGCAAACAGGGCCGGAGCAATAGCACAGCAGGGGAGGCACTGTCCGTGCACGCAGCCGACCCGGGTTCGATCCCCCCAGCATCCCATATGGTCCCCCAGGCACTGCCAGGAGTGATTCCTGAGAGCAGGGCCAGGAGTAAGCCCTGAGCACTGCTGGGTCTGAGCCTGAAACCAAACAAAAGAGGCAAATAAATGAGGCCAGAGTGATCGTACAGTGGGTCAGACACTTCCCTTGCATTCAGCTGACCGATGGTCTCAAGCGATCCCCGAGTGCAGGGCCAGGAATCATTCCTCTGTGTGGCCAAGCGTGGCCAAAAATTAAAAAAAATTTTTTTTAAAAATGTCATCTAAAAGGCCAGGGGACAGTGCAGCTGCAGAGCCCCACCTTGCAGGCTCGAGGCAGGCGTGGGGCCGGGGCGCTGCCCGCAGCTGCTGTGCGTGGTCCCGCAGCATTGGTGTCCCGCCTCCCGGCGCAGAGTTGGCTTGGAGGAGGGCCACGCAGGAATTGACCCAGCGCACAGTGCGAGCACCCACATCGTGCCAGTGAAGAAGGAAAGGAAAGGAATGAATTGGCTGACTGTGTTTCAGAGCTTTCCTGTCTGCAGGAAGCACCAGCACAGGGCCTCCTCCTCCTCACGGGGGGGGGGGGGGGGGGGGGGGGGGAGACAGGGCTGAGCCCTGGGGTGACTGAGGTCCCCCTGCAGTCGGGTGCTGGCCTGCTTTCCCCTTGCATCCCAGCTCTGAGCAGCTCATCTGCGACACTGGATGTTCCAGGGCAGGAAGCAGACCTCAGCAGGCGGCAGTGAACTTGTCTGTGCTCGAGTTTCCAATGAGCACAGCCAGGGCAGGTCTGGAGCAAATTCTCAGCATTTGGGGAGCACTTGCGTGAGCAGCTGTGGGCTTCACAGCTGGAGATGAGCAGTGCAGTGCAGAGGGCTCTGGCCCTGCATGCGGCGGACCCGTGTCTGGTCCCCAGCACCATACAGGTTCCCCTGAGCACCGTCGGGTGTGGCCTCCGCCTACAGACAGACAGTGTGGTCCTGGAGATCAATGTCGCACATGTCCAGGAGGAGCTGAGGAAGGAGCCCGAGATCAGCCTGTGCGGGGGAGGGCCTCATAGGAACAGGGGGGAGGTGGGCAGTCGGGCGCTGAGCAGGATGGTGGCACGGAATCCCACCAAGCGGGCAGCGTCCCTTGAATCAAAGGTTTGATAATGCCAGAGGGCCCTCAGTGGGCTGTCTCCACACCCTGCTGACTGTAGCCTGTGGACTCTGCATGTTCTCCAGGCCAGGAGAGGGGGGTGCCATGCCCACTGCCCCCCATTTCTGAGAGCTCGCTTCAAGATCTAAGCCTGCTGCTGGAACCTTGGATGCGGGAACCCCTATTAAGAGTGTTAGACATCGTGGGGTCTTACCAAAACAACCTTGGCTCCCACCTCCTCCCCTGGCCTGCAGACCTGGCAGCTGAAAAGAGGGTCAGTGGAAGCCAGAGATGGGCACCGGAGCCTAGAGGCCCCTGGGTCCTAGCTACAGGGGCCGGGACTGGAGTGTGTGTGAGCTAAGCATGCGGAAGTGGGGGCCGCTGCTGTTGACTTCCTCTCAGGGAGAAGGGGAAGCAGCATCACGGTCGGGGTGGGTGGGGGTGGGGGGTGTCTGCCCCCCTACTTCCATCTATCACTGGCATCTGTTTCTCGTTGAGGCGAGCGACATTAGGGGCTTCTTGGAAATATTTAGATCGGGCCAAATGTCCAGGCGTGGGGGCCAGGGCCCTCGGACAGCCCTTTCATCCTCCTCCTCATCCTCACACTTGACTGCCCCCTGAACCCCAAGGCGGGCAGTGGCTAGAGCCAGGCCCTCTCAGCCCCGCTGGACGGGCCTCTGCTGCCCCCTCGAGGCAAGGCTGCAGCATGCAGTCACCCAGGAGAGCCACTGGAGCTGTCTAGAGAGCCGTGGAAAGGGAAACCGGTCACAGGCCGGGATTCCCTCTAAGAGGGATCCGAGCCAGAGCACAGCAGGGAGGGCGTGTCCCCTGCACACGCGGCAGAATTGGGTTCAAGCCTCAGTATCCCACATTGTCTCCTGAGCGCCGCCAGGAGTGATTCCTGAGTGCAGAGCCAGGAGGAACCCCTGAGCATCTCCAGGTGTGACCCAGAAAGCAAAAAAGGAAAAGAAAAAAATATCTGTTGTTCTCCTGGAGTTACAGAATCCAGGACCTGAGCGTAAGCATCTTCTGTTTCCTCCTCTTCTTTTGTTTTTTTTTTGGGCCACACTCAGCAGTGCTCAGAGGTTACTGCTGGCTCCGTGCTCAGGAATCACTTCTGGTGGGCCCCGGGGACCATGTGGGTGCTGGGATCAAACCCAGATTGGCCGTGTGCAAGGGAAATGCCCTCCCCGCTGTGCTATGGCTCTGGCCTCTCTGTGCTTCCTTCCTAACAATGCCTGAAGAGGCTGCACAGACAGTGCATTTTTTTTTAAATTTTTTTCTTTTCATTAGTGAAACACCATGAGGTACAGTTGTAGATTTACAATTTTTTGTGCTTGGGTTTCGATTATACAATGATCAGATACCCATCCCTCCACCAGTGCCCATTTTCCACCACCATGGATAATATCCCCCCCACCCCCATCCCCCCATCCCCCCCTGCCTCTGTGGCAGGGCGATCCCTTGTGTTCTCTCTCTCCTTTTGGGTGTTGTGGTCTGCAAAAGAGGCTTTGAGTGGCAAACATGCTCAGTCCATAGTCTACTTTCGACATGCATCTCCCCTCCTGGGAGGATCCTCCAAACATCCTTTATTTGGTGCTCCCTTTTCTATCTGAGCTGCCCTTTCCCCTAGAATGCCCGGCTGGCCACTAAGCTATGGAGTAATCCTCCTGGTGCTGATCTCAGCTATTCTTGGGTATTAATCTCATACTTTGTTACTTTATATCCCCCAGATGAATGCAATCTTTCTATGTCTATCCCTCTCTTTCTGACTCATTTCGCTTAGCATGATACTTTCCATGTAGTACCACTTGTATGTAAAGTTCATGACTTCATCT